ACTATTGACTACACTACACACTAACTACACACTAACTAGAGGGGACTTAGAGGGAACATTGCTTGTATGTGAGGAGCAGGATTTTGAATTCTGGATTTAACAGGAAGCCAATGAAGGGAAGCCAGTGGCGTGACTGCACGGACTGAACTGCGAGATAATCTGCGCATGCGTCGCTCGTTCCAAGTTTCTTTTGGAAAAAAGGATCAAATACGCAGCGGGCACCATGAACACAGTGGAATATCTTCAACAACAGAACCACGAAAGTCTTCTTTCTGAGAAAAACCCGGAAATGAAATTCCACGCAGTCCTTCAACAGGACAAAGAAGGTGTAAAACAAACTGCTGGTGAGAATAATCAGATTTAACGTGGAGAGTTTATCGGACAGGAAACGGCTGCTTAGCGGCTGGTAGCTCGTTTTAGGGGTCGATGAACTGTTCACGTAGGAACGGAGCTTCCTTCTATGTCTTAACCTGAAGACGTTCACAAATGCAGTCAAGCGACTTTGGTAATGATAGTTGTTGTTAATAGTTATTAATGACATTTACGGATTAAAAAGAGCGAAAGTCAGTGGGAGGGTTCGGTGTTGCACCCGGACTGTTTAAAGGGTGCACACAAGTGTAGTTCAAGGCAGCGTTTGTGCTTTAATTACTTAAATAATAATGCTGAACTGGGGCAGGCGTGGTTAGTGTGATGGATAACAGCTGTGCCAGCCAGCCTTCCCTGGCTCTGTCCCCTGAACCCACTGCTCCATCCCTCCTCTGCAGCTGAGCCACAAACCACATCCCACTGCAGAGACAAACCCTGTATCCCATAAGCTGACTTTTTTCAACATCTCTATATGCAGCTCCAATTCTATGTCTATTTATGTGGACGTTTTAAATCTGAGAACAAAACATAATTAATAGCTTTACTCCAAACCATGATTTACCTTTAAAGATGTGATATTTTAGCCCAAAGCTAAACGTAGCTGTGTGTTATGTTTTTGATTTGATTTTAACATCTTGGCTGACGGAAGGATTAGCTCTAAATATTTACTTGTTGAGCTGTAGAAATGTAAGTCATACCACAACAGCTAACCACATGCTTCCAGCCTAATTATTACTTCTTAATAGGAAAACTGCAATACTGTTATTATTATCAGTTTGCTGATGATGATGTTCTCTCTTACTTTCCCGAAATACATTTTTGAAACATTTATACTTTTGGTTATAAGCAGCATCCACTGCCTCTAATATTTATTCCAGTATTTGTAAAACTGCATGTTTCTTAATAGCTTAATTTCCACCATGTGTGTCTCATGCACCCATGGCTTCATGATGTAGTGGTTTGGCTGTCATGTGAAAGATCCCCATCTTGAGGCTGGAAGGAGACAAACCTTAGAGCACCAACTAGTGTGCTCTTAGTACTTTTACCAAACCCAGATAAACTGCAAACTCCACTGTGGAGACCCTTCGGGAAATAAAGGAGTAGCAGAGAAAAAAAAGAATGTCCTTTTAAATTGAGGAGCAAAAAGTTAGTTTCCTTTAAAATAGTTCAGTTAATTACACAACTGTCCATGTCTGTGTGTTTCAGTATTGCCCCCTGATGTCCAGAAGGTTTTGGTGATTAAAGAAGAAATTCCCTTTGACTGGAGCTTCGGTGTGGACCATCAGCACCAGGAGATCCTCCAAATAAAGGAGGAACAGGAAGAACTCCTGACCAGTGTGGGGGGAGAGCAGCTTAACGGGTCGGAGGAAGCTGATAACACCAGGTTCTCATTCGCTGTTGCCAATGTGAAGACTGAAAATGATGATGATGAGAAAACTCAGACTTCAGATCTCCACCAGAACCAACATGACTACAACAGAGAGACTAATCGGATAAAAGCAGAAACTGATGGAGAGGACTATCCAGGAGCAGAACCAGCTGGAAACCCAAATCTAAAGATTTGTGCAGAGCTGAAAGCAAATGGAAACGCTTCTGATTCTTCTGAAACTGACATCAGTGACGGCGATGATGATTGGCAGGAACCTTTATCCTCTCCTGGACCTGAAACAAAAACCAGCGATGGAGATCAGAAGGAGACGCCTGTGCCTCACTTTCCTAACAGTGTTAACACTGAAAGGTTTACGCAGCAGCCTTACATAAGACTCTACCCACAAAAGAAGCCGTTCAGCTGTGATATTTGTGGTAAAAAGTTCACTCGCAAAATGCACGTTAAAACACACATAAGGACCCACACGGGAGAAAGACCCTTTGGTTGTGACGTCTGTGGTGAGAGGTTTGCACAGGAGGGGAACTTGCGGAGTCACCTGAGAGTGCACACGGGGGAGAAACCATTCAGCTGCGACGTCTGCGGTAAAAAGTATAGACAGCAGGGTGTTCTGAGGACACACATGAGAACTCACACAGGGGAAAAACCGTTTGGGTGCAAGTTTTGTGGAAAGCAATTTAGCCAACAGACTCATCTCAAGGCACACATCAGAATCCACACTGGAGAGAAACCTTATCAGTGTAACTTCTGTGCCAGCAGCTTCAGCCAGAAGAAGCATTTTGATGAGCACACCAGACGGCACACTGGAGAAAAACCGTTCGGGTGCGATTTTTGTGGAAAACGGTTCTACCGGCAGGAGTATCTGAAGAGTCACGTTACGATCCACACAGGAGAGAGACCGTTTGGCTGTGATGTTTGTGGAAAAACCTTCAATCGAAAGACACGATTTAAGGCTCACATGACGCTTCACAAGTGTTAGAAGCTGCATTATTTCAGGGTTCATTGTGAAGGATACATTACCCAAGTGCCTTGGTAAGGACCACACAGAGTTTTTAAATATTTTAATTTTTTTAAATGCCTTCAATCTGATTTTGATGAGTCCTACAAATGTATTGAATTGTCAAGTCAGCTTTTAAGAAGTTGCTTTGCAGAAAGTGCAGTTAATGGAGTGTTGTTTAAAAAGTGTTTTGGCAGTAAATCTGAATCAAGCTTCTGTTAATGTTGCTTTCATGAGAAAGTACATGTATAAATCAGAGATTTGCTTTACAAAAGTGAATGAAAGCCCTTTGTACCGTCTGGAGTCATGTACAGCTGTGTCCATAAATATTTGGATAGTAGAAGATGTCTTTGTACTCCAGCACAGTGGATTTTAAATCAATCGATATGCGATTGGAGGTTGACTTTCACCTTTAATTCAAGAGGTTTTACAAAAAAACGTTCAGGAATCATCACCATTTTATACTTGTGCCCTATTTTCAGAGGCTCAAAACTGGACAACTTAACATAAATGTAATTCTAAGTATTGTTTTTAATACTCGGATGAAAATCCTTCTCAGTTGAATTTGTTGAAATATGAAGAAACACTGAATGCAACAATTAATTGTCTTACATTGATTTATTTTATATATATATTTGAAGTCTTTTACTTGCCTGCGTGCAATAAATAAGGAATTAAGAAAGAAAAAACAAGTCTTTGTGTGTCTGTTTTTACACTGAAAAGTACTTCAGAGTGCTCAGGATGTGCTCTCAGTGAGTATGCCCCTCCTTGGGTTGGTTGGGTTTGTGTTTAGTCAACAAGCTGGGCTGTGGAGGTCAAATGTGCTCAGGTACAATATTTGATATTTAATTGTCAAAGTCAAGCACATACCTTGCTTTTATCAGCTTCATTGTATTTGAAGCTTGAGTGGAATGCAACTGATTAGAAATAACATCTGACTGAAATTAATTTGGAAATTTAATTTCACTGTGTGGAGGAAATCTTTGCTGAGGAGCCATTAAGATATGTAAATGAAAGCAATTTATCTTCTTTTCTCATGAATGGCAGTATTTATTTTCAATGAAAATAAGTACAATGATAAAAAAATATATCCAGAAAAGGAACTAATTTCTGCGAGGAGTCAGTGAGGTGGTTCACCATCTGACTGGGATGCCTCCTAGGTGAGCGCTTCAGGCACATCCCACCGGAGGATGCCAGCTGAGAGAGTCCCTCAGCTGACCTCCTCCAGTTCATCTGGGGGACACCTCGGTGTCCCCCAGATGAACTGGAGGAGGTCTGAGCATCACTGCTAAGGCTGCTACCCCCATGACCCTGACATGGGTAAAGGGAGAAAAAATAGATGCATGGAATTTGCAAGGCCTACCCAGTAAAATATTAATTTTGAACAAGAGGACGTCTAAGTTAAATAGACGTCCTCTTAGTCCACCAAACTGTAGCTACCAATGTGCCGTATATCAGAAGATGCCTTTCTGAAAACAATGAGGATAAATATCATAAATATAGATGTGTCTATTTTGTACTGTTGTGAAATCTTTTGGTAAATAAAACCAGAAATAAAAGGAAGTGACAGAAAAGGTGTTGTTTCCAGCCACTGTGTGTGTACATGGTGAATGGAGAAATAAGGACCGTTACCTTTACAGCAAACAGTGAAGTAAGAGTTTCTCAGATTTTCAAATGAGATATTGTATGTAAAGAACAGCATATACACTATTTTTCTTTCTCTGCTTTTGGATGATAAATTAATTCAAAAACGGAAAACGTCAGAGGACAGCCACACCCCTCTTATTCATGATAGGATACATTTGAATTGGTACGAGTAGTACTAGTGCTTTTCTTTTAGCAGGCCAGCAGAGGGCGACATCTGCCTGAACAACAGGGGAGGTTGTGGCTTCCAATAAAACATATATGGAGAAAAGAACTGATTAGTCGGATTAATAAAAAAAGAAGTCACGTTTTGATCAGTGTTAATCAGTGGATAATGTTTATGGAAATAATGGAGACTGATACAGCACACAAATTAAAATTAGTGACAGAAATATCACATCGGCCTGATTTTACTGTAAGGGATGAATGGAAAGAGTAAGAACTGTTTGGATCACAGATGCCCAAGTTGTTTCAGCTGTTGAGTTAAAAGTACGTAAATCCTCATTAGTTGGGCTACTAATTAGAACTAATAAAAATAAATGGCAAGATTGGAAAGAATAAATGGGAAATAAATACCTTAGATAGGGCCTATTTTAATATATTATTTTAAACTCTTAATTAAAACCCCGAAGCTTTAATAGCTGTATCATTGCTAAAAATAAAACGATCTGTCCGTTCCTGAAGACGTTCACAAATGCAATCAAGCGACTTCCTTTTAATCCCGTTAATTCAAACTTCTACCAGGAATAACATTTTTGTATTGAGTAACTAAAATTTTGAACGTGTCTATAAAAACTGAAAAATTTCACAAATGCTGCAAACAACATGATTGTAAATATGTAATTTGTTCATAGCTAAACATTTAACATTTGTGATCTTTTTTAACTTAAAAATTAATACAACTAAAAAACACAATAAAAAATGAATTTAACTATTATTTTACAGTATATATAATATTAGAATTTATTTTGTTTCTTTATTATTTATTTAATATATAATATTTTTTTTACAATACTTATTTTTCTAGTAATATGATATATTTAAAACATATATTTATCTTTTAATATTTGCCTTTGACATGTACGTTTGTGTGGTGTAACTGTTTACTGCTGCTGCTGCAAGGCCTGTAGTTACTATGGTGACGGAGAATAAAGGTGTCCGTGCCGATGCCTGCTCAAAAACCAGCGGAGACGGCAACAAATCTTTTAACAAAAGGATTCAGGAGAGTGGATTCCCTGTTGGAATCTGCATCCCGCTCTTATATAATACATCCACGGATGTAGAAGCAGGACAGAAAATGAAGCCAGCGCTTCTTTAACTGTGAGCGGAGGTGATCGGTCCTGCGCAGGCCTGGTTCATCTCAAATGAGCCTCCAGTTTATTTTAAAGAACAGAACAAATGCGGACACTATGAACGAAGAGGAATATTGTCAGCAGCACGACACTGAAAGTGTTCGTTTTAAAGACAACCCGGACAGTAAACCGCTGGGAGTCCATCAGCAGCTGGATGTAAAGCAGACAGATGGTAAGGATCATCACAGATTTAATGTGGAGTGTTTCTACTGGTGAAAAGGCGGACGTTAGGGCTTAGTAAAGAAGAAGATTCACATAAAAAGCTTCTGTAAAGCGGAATATGTTCACAAATACCAAAAACAGTTTTTCACTTTATTTTTCCTTTTTTTTAAACGCTGTAAAAGACGGAACTGAACGGCAACAGTACAGAGCAGCACCCGGACGGTTTACAGTGGGTACACAACAGGGTTATTTTGTAGTTCAGCCTCAGTGCAAGCCAAAGTTTGGGATATGTTTTTACTTAATTAAAAGCTCAAAGAGACTCTAACATAATGGATGCCTGACTGCAAACTGTCAGTGTGCCTTTAATATGTTATAAGGCGTGTAGTACAAATATAAGAATTTCACAAGTATGAACTTATGCACTTGTTCTACTGAGATTATACTGCCTTTAATTGTTTAAGTGTGCCCCTGTATGACACGATAGATTATGAATGTTTACATCAAAAACCTGCAGTCTCTTATTTATGTTCCATTTATAGTTTAACCTCCATACAACAGGACATTTTCTGTGGAGCAAAGGTGAAGACATCAGAACTTAGTATCACTGATGTGTCAGGTGTATGACTGTGAGGACTTTGAATCTGTAAATATGTTTTGTTAGTCTTCACATTTCATGATTGATCAATATTTCTAGAAATAAATCAGGCCTGGTGTTTATATTGTAGGCAAGAATGTTTTTAGACTAACTGCAGCTCTTTAATCTCGGACTAAATTCAGTCTGCTTCTAAGCGTCCATAAAGGCTCTACTAAAGGTGGCTTCATATCTTAAATATTTGTGTGCAGCATAAATATACTTCTGAACAAATAAGAGACTGTTAATTTTTTATTTGCAAAAGACGTCTTTAACCAAAACCATGTTCTTCTAAAAACAAACAAACAAAAAAAAACATAACAAAAGGTTAAAGCAGAAATATATTGGAAGTGCTGTAGAGACAAAAAACTGGCAGAGAGAGAAAGAAGGCTGGAGTGGATGGATTACTCAAGAGTGAACACTCAGAACAAAATCCAGTTTTTATTTCCTGTTTTCTGCTGACTGTTTTTTTTTTTTTTTTTCTTTTCAATTTTAGGTGGTGTGACCTAAATGTTGTGCCACTGCACTTTTAGGACCCTGGTGGTTTCACAGTATATTGTAGTACTAGTATTATAATTCAAATTATTTCTTCTTGCATGGGCCTTTATTTAGAAATTAATCCACACCAAAACAGACATTGGTAATCACCTGAAAACAAGCCAAAGTCTGTAAAACATCAGCAGCTCACACACTGCAGGGCATTCATCCATCCACCAGGGCATTGCAGACATTCGTCTTCCTAGCCACACTTTCCAATTCCTCATGTGGGATCCTAATGATCTTTAATAGATTGTTAACTGCTGAGAGTCTCTGCTCTCTTTTTTTCATTCTCCACCCCTCTTTACTATTCTTGGATGTAGCTCATTTGAATCTGTAATTATTAGTGCTAAAAATGTCTGCACCTCACCAGCCTTTGTGGGATTTTTGCCATGCTTAAAAAGTTATTAATGGATTATGATTATCATTTCATTGCATTTTTTTTCTGCATCATATGATTTGACCAATGTATGAGGTTGATACAGATCACCTCTCAGTGTGCTTCTCAGTGCTTCAAGTGAGCAGTTATTCTTTTTATTACTGATAAACCAGTTAAACTCTCCTTTTTCTGTTTGCTTGTGTAGTGAAATCAGAAGTGTCATAGCATGCGTGGAATTGCCTAGCACTAAGTAAGCAATTCTTCTTCTGTATAGCTA